TTTATTTTTTAAAAAACCCAAACAAACTGATATTTCCTCCCCTCCCCTCACCCTGCCCCAAACTCCAAGGTCATGACGGTCCCCTTTCATTTCAGAGATTTACAAACTGCTTCAAAACAGAGCTAAAATTGCCTTGGTAGCCCCTGTCCCTTTAAAGTTTGTGCTTTTGGAGCGCTGTAAGAAAACCCAACATAGAAAAATACTTTACAAGGAATACGCTCTACTCTTTCACGGATAAAAATACACATTTGAGTAACTGCATTTCATTGGGACCTTATTCAAAATGCATAGGGAGAAGGAGGACTGGGTTTTGTTTGTTTGTTTGTTTTTAAAGCCTTTCATTAAAAGCCTTCACTTAAAACCCCAACCAGAAGCCACAGTGAACTGTCTACTGTCGTAAATATTGCATATAAAAAGCCTCTGACCCTGTGGGGTCAGGGCTGCCCGGACATTCCAGGCGAACCAAAGGGCAGCTGACTGGGGACCGTGGATTGCATACATTAGAGAAAAATGGCGACAGCTACAGTTAGCTGGATGGGATGGCAGATGACCACCTCTCCCCCCAATGCCTAAGGAAGGGCTCCACCTTCCAATTCCTCCCTCACTTTGAGGGAGCATCAAAATGGGTGGGGGGCCCCCACATTGTTTCAGGCTGAAGTTCCAGACTCTCATAAAATATTAGATCTAGGAGGGACTTAGTCCAAACCCTTCATTTTACAGATGTAGAAACTGGGGCCCAGAGAGGGGAAGTAACTTGTGTGAGGTCACACATCAAGTCAGTGGCAGATTTGGGACTGGAGTTTTGGTCTCCCAATTCCCCAGTCCAAGGCCCTCTTGGGTCACAACTTCAGTTCCTGAAGCCCAAAAGTTGGAGACATTTGGAGCCAATGCAAACACACAGGTGTCTTCTGATGGACCAGAAGCATAAAGAAGAGGAAGTACCTACTGGGGGAGGGGGGAATGTCAAATACTCACTTCCCCTTCTAAGACAAGCCCCAATGGAAAGTTACAAAGAAACCCAAATAAACAAAGCATCCTCCAAACCTCCAGCCTCAGCCAAAATAAAGTGCTACTCAAATTAGACCAGGTGATGAGGGTGGCAGTCATTTGTTTGGTAAATTCAGGGAAATCCCCAGGAGTGATTGTGAGACTGGCTTTATGTGGTGTGGGGAGACTTCCTGGCTTTAGCTGTGGTTAGTTCTTGGTGTAGGCAAATCACAGAAACTAAAGGATAGATGGTCATGTGAACATCCAGACCTTCAATGAGAGGGTTGTGATGACAGTGAAGGCCAAGAGCCTCCTGGGGGTTTGGGGGGAAAGGATCAGAAGGCATCCTGCTTATAGTCAATGGGGCAGCCAGTCATCCAGAAACAGGGGTGGATTCAACCAGTCAAGGGTGGAAGAGAGAGGCCCAGTACCTGTAATGAACTGTAAGGACCCAAAGTCTGGCACAGATCTGAGGGCATCTGCTCTGGGGACGCTGGAAAGAACTCACCTCCATCAGACCCACCTCTGGCCCTGGCTGGTGAAGTCTGTTTTGGGGCAGTCCCCTTCTGAGGCCACCCAGTGGCATCAATGACAAGCAGTCAGAAAGAGCAACTCAGTCCCCTTCCCAGCCCTCACATCCAGTCTTCAGTGAGTGCACCTCGTAAGGGGACAGAGATGGAGGGAATGGAAAGAGGGCTAGGAGGAATCAACCCAGAAACTGAGAAAGGAAAAGGGGATGAGAACTAGGGGTTGGGGGAAGCACAAGGGAGAAAGTGGAGGAAGAAGGGAAGGAACATGGCAATTTGATGTATTGGGCTTTGCCAATTGGAGATAAAACGATTGGGAGCAGAGCCAAGACTTCCCCTTCTATTGTTCATCCTACAGTGGCTAGCCCCAGGCTGGGCACATCTTAGGCACTAGTACTTCTTGAGGAAGGAAGAGAGGGCAGGAAGAAGAGATGAATGGGAGGGCAGAAAGAAGGGAGGGAAGGAAAAAGGGCAAGGGAAAGGGCAGGAGGGAAAGAGGACAGAAGGGAGGGAGGAAAGGAAGAAAGGAGGGATAGAGAGGGGGAAGGAGAAAAAGAGAGATGAACTAAGGGATGGAAGGCAAGAGGAAGAGAGGAAGATAGAGCAGAAGGAGCAGAGGGAGGGTAGGAAGAAGAAAGGGATGGAAGACAGGAGGAAGAGAGAGAGAGAGAGAGAGAGAGAGAGAGAGAGAGAGAGAGAGAGAGAGAGAGGGAAAACACAGCCCAGATAGCTTAAATAATAAAGTCAAGGAGACAGGAAAAGGAGGGTGGAGGTCTCTCTCTCTCTTCTGGAAACTTGTTCATTTATAGCAGAGGTGGGGAGCCTCCAACCCAGAGGGATAGGAAAGATATTTCTCCCTCTCAGCATGAGTAAATGAGCTTGATTTTGGGGTTTCAGGTCCATTGTAAATATCAGTCTCTCTTCACCCCTTTGCCTTTTGTCTTCTCATACCCCATCTTCTTTCTCTCTCTGTTCTCCCTTCCTCTCTCTCTCTTCTTTCTTTTATTGGCCATAAGGTAAGACTGAGGTAAATTTAAAAATATTTATTGATTAGAGTTTATGGCCTAAGTGAAGAAAAAAACCCTTCATTTACAACATGAAACATACAACATTTATCTCTCTCAAAAAAATAATAAATTTTCTCTTTACTTATATGGCACTTCACTGACTCCCTGCCTAACTCAAACTCTACTCCTCCAGTTGCCTTAAAATAATAATAAAAACCAAAACAGCTTCTCTATCCCTGTCTTGACCTGATCAGAGGAAAAATTAACCATGATTAACCAAAGCATATGAGCTTGGGGGCAGTGCCACCCACCAGGGGAAGTAAATAGACTACAAGTTCCTTGAGGGTAGAATCTGTTTCATTTTTTTGTCTTTGTATTCCCAATGCCTGTTATCTAGTAGTTAATAGAAAGCTTGGGACCAGGTCCTAACATTGAAGACTCTTAGTCTGTCCCCGCTAATGCCACTGAGGTCTCATCTATGACATGGGTTTCCAAAGGTGGCATTGGAACTTTGATAGGGGGAGGGTGGCTGAAGCTTGCCAAGAGCCACCATAGGTGACTATATGACAGTAAAGGTCACCTATCCAAGGGGACTTAGATCCTCACCCTCATGCTTTTCATTGAATTCAAACTATAGAAACGTAGACTCTTAAAGCTTGATGGAAGAGACCCCAGAAGTCACCTAGTTTTAACTTTTAAAAACTAGTTTTTAAACTAATTGAACACTAGTTTAAACAACTAGTTTTAACTTTTAAAAACTAGTTTAAAATCCCCACCAGGGGATTTTCTAGTTTTTTTTTCCTACTTCTACATCCCTGACAGACAAATGGCCATTCAGCCGCTGTTTGAATATTCCCACTCATGGAGAATTTATTTCTTAAGATTGAATCAAATTGAACCAAGGCCCTTCCTTTCTTGAATAGCTCTGATTATTAGGAAGTTCTTCCTTATTCTGAACTGAAATTTGCCTCGCTGTAACTTGCGCACATTAGCCTTGGGTCTATCTTCTGGAGCTAAACAGTATAAGTTGAATCTCTTTTTCATAAAATGGCACTTCAGATAGTCTGAGCACAGCTACTGTGCCCCATCTTTATCTCCTTCTCCCATCCCCCAAGTCTTCTCTTCTCCAGGCTATATGTCCTCAGTTTCCTTAATTGACCTTGTGACATGGTTTCTATACCTTCTGCCATCTTGGACAATTCCCTGCACCAATGTCTCTCTGAAACCTGGGACCTAGAAGCACCAACACCGTGTTTTTGGAATTAGTGGGGTCCCAGTTTGACCTCTAAAGAGCTGTCAGTTTCCCTAAAACCTTAAACAAGTGATAGACCTGGGCAAGCAGGTTAGGAGGACAATTATTTCAAAGCCTTGATATCATCTCATTAAATTTGGGAACCCATAAGAAACTGGGGTGGGAGAAGTCACAATTTAGAAACTAAGCCTAGGATTGAAGGATGTCAGGAACAGGGCTGAAGTCAGGTACCTTAGACTTAAAACATTCCCTTTTTCCTCAATTCCTAACCTTTTCTCCAGAACCTGGGGATGATGGATGGTCACTGAAAACTCCAAGAATTCCCTTCCTTCCCTTTACTCCTTGCCTTTCCCTCCAAAACACAGAATCTCAGAGTTGGAAGGACCTTCAGAGGTCATCTAGCCCAATGCTTTCCTCTCTGGAAAATCCCTCTACAATCTGCCTGTCTTATCCAACCTCAGGGTGAAGACTTTTGTTGATGGGGAGCCCCAGACCTGAGGCAGTCTATTTCACTTTTGGACCCTCTAACTATTGGAAGGCTTTCCCTTTCATTGAAATGAACTCTGACCAAACACAAGTCTATTGCCTCTTTCAATAGCTAGCCCTTCAAATACTTAAAGATGATCATCCTCTCCCCCAACTTTCTCTTCTAACAGGTTACACATTCCAAGTCCCATCCAATGATCCTTTTGTGGAATGGTTTTCATTTGTGCTCACACTAGGGACTCCAGATATCCTCTTCTGCTCATCCCCTGCCCTTCCCTCTGGTGTATTTAAGGCCAGACTGATTTGTCAAGTGTCTAGGCATCTTGTGTTGAGCCTAGATGCTGTCATGCATCCTTTCATCAAGAGAAACAAGAGCTTCCACACTCATTGGCCTTCAGGTGTCGTTTTTCATCTTTTCCTAGAGATTTTACATGGAATGAAAAGATACTCCATACCATTTCAGGCCAGATACTCTAACACAGTTGTAAATGTCCCTTGAATTCGGGTACAGTCCCAGAGTGAGATGCAGCCAGATCTGAAGGCTTTATTCACTTTTTCTCCTGCACCTTACTCAAGTCTACTTAAAGAAAGGAACAAAGGTGCACAAATGGGCATCCACAGGTAATCAGAACTCTAGCAACAGTGTCTAATGGACCTTACCTATAGTAGAAAGAATGCTGGGCTTGGGAGTTGGAACCTAAACTCTAACACTATCTGTGTGACCATGGGCAAATAATTTCCCTTCTCTGGAATCATTTCCTCCTCCGGAAAATAAAAGGAATTGGATTAGATGGGATCTAAGTTCTCTTCCAACTTTCTATATTCTAAGGCCACTCCAGCTCCAACATTTTACCATGTAAGGTGCTTCCCAGCTCTGACATTCTACGTTCGAAGGTCCCTTTCAGCTTTAACTATCTATGGCTGTATGACCAGAAGACCCCAACTCAATCTCTCTGCAAATAAAGCAGCCTTTGCTGCCAAAAAGACAGGCCCCAGGAACAGAGAATATGGGAATGGGGGTTCAGGTCAGGCCACATCTGATGAATGTGCCCAAATGGCTGTTGACATGGAGGGAGGGAAAGAGAAAGGTGTGTGATGTGATGGCCACCTTGGAAATGACAAGATATGATGGGTAAGGTCTTCACACAAATGCTGTCCAAGGAATATAGCACCGTGTGTGTGTGTATGTATGAGTGCAAATGCACATTTGGAGAGTGTGCAGACCCTCTGAGATGGGAGCAGAAAGGCAAAAGGACAGCCTCAACTCGATACCAGCTGGAGGACAGCCTGGGCTCAAGGCAGGAAAGATGGATGGAGAGCACAGGTCTTGACCTCAGCTACTTTTCAGCAGCCCAGGGACCCAAGGTGAGGCTGAGGGGCCAGAAGGAGCCGTTCTGGGTGGTCTGACCTCTTTCAGAACCTTGCCCCCTGCCTTCTCTAGCCCCAGTTCCAGCACTGGGGTACAGAGGCACAGTCATGTTGGATGTCCCCAGTGCCTCTGCCATAGGGGAGACTTTCAGGTGCAGGGTCAGGTTTCAGAGCATCCGGGTGCTGTCCCTCATCTCCAGACCCACAGAGGGTGAACTGGGCATTACTCTGTTCTCCTCCTGCTGCATGCTGTTGGGCATTGCCAGAGGGTTCCGGCTTATGACTAGGTCCAGCTTGTCTCCGGCCTCAGAGATGAGTGGCACAGTCAGGCAGCAGTCAAAATCTCGAGTTCGGATGTGATTTACCTAAATGGGAAAACAGGAAGGAAAGAAAAATTAATCTAACCCACTTTAAGCCAGACTTTGGGTTGGAAACAAAGCTTCCCCAACAAACGATTCCAGACAGAAAGAGGAGCAGCTTCTTACAAAGTAAGACCAGAGCTACTTACAAAATACATTTTCCAAAAAGCTGTATTAATGCTTTTTGTTTTTAAAATCACATAATCATAGTCCTTCCTAAATATGCTCCTTTCCTCCTCCCCCAGCTTCCTACGAACCTTCCTTTGTAAAAACAATAAAAAAAAGTTAAGGAAAACAACCAACATATTGACTGTTTATGAAACTGTATACAACATTCTCACCCATGGGCCCCACCACTTTAATAAAAAGAGGGATTTTTTTTTCCCCTAAGGTCATGATTGGTCATTACAGTTCCATAGAATGCGGTTTTATTTTGTTCAAAAAGCACATTTTACAAAGCGCTTTCCTCAAAACAACCCGGTGAGGTAGGCAGTCTATCATTGATCCTATTTTACAGCTAAGAAAACTGAAGTTTGGGCTAGGGGGCTGACCTGCTCCCAGTCACATGACTAGTAAGGATCAGTGACGGGATTTGAATCCAGGCTTCCGGAGCCCAACTCCCATGCTCTTTCTATTCCATCTATTAATTCTCTACTAAGGCTACATGATGGAGAAGATGGGGTGGGCAGCCTCTCCTAACAAACTATCACACTTACAAGAAATCATCCCTCCAGGGTCTGGGTCTGGGACCGAGGGATGCTTGCATCCTTTCCCTATCCGGTGGCATTTCTTCATAGAATTTTCAGAAGTTGATGACACCACAAGGATCATACACCCACTGGCCCAATTCTCTCCTTTCTGGTCTCTGCCCCTTTCTTTGTCCCAGATCCACCAGCTTTCCCTGTGTAGGTGGTAAGGAGGGAGGCTCTCCCTGCCAGGATCAACCTGTCTCTCAGGTAGCTGGCGGGTCTTCCACTACCCTGCCCGGGGTGATTCAAGGCTGAATTTTTATCCCCTCAAAGGCCAACAAGGAAGATCAAGTTCCCAGCTTCCATGGAGATTGGGTCGGTTGGCTAAGTTTTACCAAGCGTTAGACTCCTGTGTCAGAAAATCAGAGCAGAGAGAAATACTGGAAGATAGTCTCCAATTTACATTTCACGGTGGGGTTCTGAGCTGGGTTCAAAACACACCGCAGATGCTTTGTTGTCTGTGTGATCCCAGGCAAGTCACTTAACAGAGAGAAAGGGGATGAGCATTTATTAAGCACCTACAATGTGCCTAGCACTGTGCTAAGTGTTTTACAAATATGAACTCATTTATTCCTCACACCCACCCTGGGGAGAGGGTACTATTATTATCCTCATTTTACAGCTGAAGAAACTGAGGCAAACAGAACTCAGGAAGTGTCTGAGGCTGGATTTGAATTCAAGTCTTCCTGACTCCAGACTCAGTGTTCTATCTTCCTGGGCCTCAGTTTCTTCTTTCTATAAGATGTTCTCTAAGATCTTTTCTAGTTCTGTATCTATGACCCTATGACCTCTCTGGACCTCCATTTCCCCATCTAGAAAATGGGGATAGCAGCACACTTATTATGAGAAAAGCGTCCTGCCATTTTTTTAATTCTGAAATTAAATAACAAATGAAAAGTCCATTTCCATATTCCAATGGACACAAGGAGTGTACATTAAACTGCAGGTCTCTGTTCTATACAGCTTACTTTTCTTTTTTGTTATAAATATAATAAACTCCATGTGTGACTTTCAGAGCTGTGCTGCTTGTCTGCAGTTTGTTTATTTTTTTCCTTCTGACTTTCCTTCTGTTCTTTCTAGGGCATTTCTGTTATTTGTAAAGTATCACAATATCGCATAATCCCAGGCTTGGAAGGGGACCTGGGAGGCCATCTGGCCCAAGCTCAATCTAAATGGGAATCCCATGACAGCATCCTTGATATTTGCTCACCCAAAGTCTGTGATGGGGAACTTACTACCCACCGACACAGCCCCTGGGACTTTCCACTTTTGGAAACAATCAGACTGGTCTGATTGTTCGGAAGGTTTTTGTTACGTTGAGCTGACATCTGTTCCTTTTCAATTTCCCTCCATTTCAATTTCCCTCTGCTCCCCTGGGGCCAATTCTTCTACGTATGTCCCTTCAAACACAAGACAGCTAGTAGTTCCTCAGGGCAGTGGATTGAATGTCTGGCCTGAAGTCGGGAAGACTCATCTTCCTGAGTTCAAGTCTGGCCCTAGCCACTTACTAGTTGTGTTACCCTGGTCAAGTCACTTAACCCTGTTTGCCTCAGTTTTCTCATCTGTAAAATGAGCTAGAGAAGTAAATGGTAAACCACTCCAGTATCTTTGTCAAAAACAAACAAATAAAAACCAAACAAACCATAATGGAGTCACAAAAAGTTGAACACAACTGAAATGACTGAACAACAACCGCCCACAGCCTAAGAGACTGACATCTGGAGTGCTGTACAACTCCATCCCAAAGCCCAAGGACACCAAACACTGACCCTAAGTCTTTGAGTCTGGGGTGCCCTTCACTGGGCACTATTTGGGGAGGGTGAAGGAATGTCCACAACATGGCTTTCTCCCAGGGATGGGCATGTAGGCAACTCTTCCCCTGATGACCACGGGAGGAGGAGCCGGTCCCCAAGAGAGTGTCCAATCAATAAAAAAGATTGGATTACCCGACAAGGGTGCTGTACATGGTCAGTGGGAAAACTCAGGAATATTCCTCAGTCAACAAAAGTAATTCCTTATGTTTGTCAAGGGTTTTAGAGTTTGCCAAGAATTTCTATGCACTCTTTAAAGCACTAGAAAGACCAGAATTTAAGGGTAACAATGAAGGAATTTTTCGTTTTGTATTAATTGATGCACCTGGTCCTTTTAGTTTTCTAGTATTAATTTTGGTGCCTTCCCTCTAAGATGATCCCTAATCTATATTCTTTCTGTCTTGTTTGTACATAATTGCTTGCATGTTGTCTGCCCCTTTAGACTACTGTGAGCTCCTGGAGATCAGGGATGGGTTATTTTTGGTTTTGTTTTTTGCCTTTCTCTGTATTCCTGGTACTTAGCACAGTGCCTGGCACATACTAGGTGCTTAACAAATGCTAGTTGACTCACTGGCTCTGCAGTCCATCCAAACTGTCCTACTTTTTCTTCCTTATACTAGAAATTCCATTTCCTGTTTCCATGACTTTGAGCAACCTGGAATGTTAACCTTCTCACCTCCTGCCTCTTAGCTATTTTTAAGGTTCAGCTCAATGGCTACATCCTACAGAAGGCCTTTCCTGATTCCTCCCAGTTATTATTTTATATTTAATTTTCTAGGTCTATGTTGTACTGACTCTCCTCTTCGAAATTGTCTTGTATTTATTTTACTCTTTTCTGTATAACATGTTGTATTTCATACTGTATTGTATGACAATAAATATCACTCACTAATCCCCAGTGGCTTGAAGGAAGGACACAACCATGTCTCTGAAGAAGAAGAGGAGGAGAAGGAGGAGGAGGAGGAAGAAGAAGAAGAAGAAGAAGAAGAAGAGAGAGAGAGAGAGAGAGAGAGAGAGAGAGAGAGAAAGGAGAAGGAAGAGGAGGAGGAAGATGAGGAGGAGAAGAAGAAGTAGCAGAAGTAGTTTACCATACATGCTTTGCTACCTACTCCCTCCTAGGCCTCTAAAGGGCCACACCAGGGGATATTACCTGAAGGACTCGGTCAAACGGTTTGAGGCCACAGTGATCAGCAGGCCCACCAGGACGGATCATGTTGACGTAGACACCCTTCTCCAACAGGCCATCAGAGACGCTGAAGCCAAAATCTTCACTCACTGGGTCCTTCCAAAGAGTCAACTACAAGGAAGGTGAGAGTGCAACACAGGGGTCAATAGGAGGACCTCGAGGAAAGCTTCAAGGGGCAGTAATTTAGAGTTTCTATCCCAGATCTCACTGAATAAAAAAAATATTATCTTCCCCTTCCTGTTCAAAAGCTTTTAATGGCACCAATCTCCCATGAAATAAAGTTAAGTTTCCTGTACTTTCTTGTCTGGCCTCAATTTCAGTGCCCAATCTTATATCCTGTTATTCCCCAATAAAAACTGTCTGTTCCAGCATTGTCCCCCAATGAAACTGCATATTTTTATCTCTACAAGTTGGTTAATGTAACCCACATGCCAGAAGCTCCCTTGGTTCCATGTTGGGGATTTCTTCCTTCTATGGCTTATTATCACCATCTAGTTGTTCAGTTGTTTCAGGTGTGTCAAACTCTTTGTAACCCCATTTGGGGTTTTCTTTGAAGAGATACTGGAGTGGTTTGGCATTTCCTTCTCCAGCTCATTTTCCAGATGAGGAAACTGAGGCAAACAGGGTTAAGTGACTTGTCCAGGATCACACAGGTAGTAAGTGTCTGAGGTCAGATTTGAACTCAGGAAGATGAGTCTTCCTGACTTCAGGCCCAGCTCTCTATCTGCTGTGCCACCTACTTCCCATCACTAGATTATCTAGCAATTTCAGAATCTGGCTCCAGAAGCTTGGCTTTTGCTGTTCTCTTTCACAAGTATGGGTGTAATCAGTCACTGTTGGACACCAATACCTCTATCCATTGCTCTTTTATAGTTCTCTACTCCTAGTAGGTGATGGCCTTTCCATTGTCACTACTACCTACTGTAATTCCTGCTTCCTGGTACACCATTCTCACTCTCCTTTGCTAATCTCTGCAGCTCAGCTCTCCTCCAGTAGATGGCATGTATCCCTTTTCTTAGGGGACCAGCTCTCTAATCCCAGCTATATAGGGACAAACGTCTAAGTATTTTTTATAGTTCAAAAAAATCCTTGATGTTCTAAAACCTTCTTTTGTACATGGTCCCGGATCTCATGCAATAAGCTTATTGGAAGGGGAGACAGGGAGGAATTGGGAGCTTCTCTATTTTGTACTGTTCAAATGTCCTCAATTTCAGAGATCTTTTATCTGGGATGCTCTGTCTTCAAACCATTGAAAGCTTATGGTAAATCAGCCATTTACTTGTTCTCTTCCCAAGCACTTGGGTGGGGAAACTCTGTTCATGTAAGTGCCCTCCAGTCCGATCTTTCCCCCAATCACCCTCCTCCATCTCTTCCTCAAAGCATCTGGGTTTGATCATTCACATTGTCCATAGCTGCTTCTAGAAGAAGTCGGCTGACAACAATGGATCACAGAGCTAGACTATACTTTGTAATCTAGGAAACTGAGAGCCAGAGAGGTCAAATGACTTGTCCATTTCAGCAGAGGAAACTGAGGCAGTGTGTCCAAGGTCACAAAACTAGTACGTGTCTGAGGCTGGAAAGGTAAAGTTTATATTGGCTCAATTCAATTATTTGCCATTCATGGATCACAAATGGCAAAGTTACACATAGGTGACTTTCCACATGCTGTTATTATTGGACTGTTCTGTCCTGAAGGCAACATGCTGCCCTGAACCAACAAGTAGCTGCATGCTACATGGATCACCATTCTTTCCTCCGGGCCATTACTCATCAGCCTGGCCATTGGCCAGATGGCCTGGGCCCCTTGGTTATGGCTCATCACTACTTCTGAATTCTTGGTCTTCAATCTGCTGTTGGAGAGGAAGGATGTCCTCCAGCATGCTGTTTTCTAGCCCCAATTCTAGGCATGTTGACAATTGAGGTTGGATGTTCCAGTCTCCTGTCCCTATAGCTCCATATGTGACCTCTGTCCTGTTGGGACCTCCAATCAAGGATGAATGAACATGCAAAAGAAGACTGTCTCTGGAATCTCTTGCTTTGCCCATGTTTGGATCTGGGTCACAGTTCTGGGCAGTGGTGCTGGGGTGAGGTGGAGCGCTGGCATGGTGGAGCTCGTAGTGGGTGTGGAGAGGAACCCCTCCTCACAGTTACAGGACAGAGAGGAGTATTTGTGGTCACAGGCCAGGAAAGGAGTAAACACCTCGTCCTTATTACACCACCTTGGAAGAACTGAAAATTTACAGGTCCCTACGAGTATATCTGAAAACAGCTGTACCAACCCCTGAAGCTTGGGACAGTACATTCTCCACATTGGAAGCAGACTCTTACCTTAACAAATAGTTTAAAACTCAAGTAATTGGCTGGGATCATGAGCAAGCAGCACAAAAAGAGTCAGACTATATTATCTTACTTTGGTGAAAAAGAAGATGAAAATATACAGCCAGAAGAAGACAACAAAGTCAAAGCTCCTACATCCAAAGCCTCCAAGAAAAATATGAATCAGTCCCAGGCCTTGGAAGAGCTCAAAAGGGATTTTGAGAAGCAAGTAAGGGAAGTAGAGGAAAAACTGGGAAGAGAAATGAGAGTGATGCAAGAAAATCATGAAAAACAAGCCAACAGCTTGCTAAAGGAGACCCAAAAAAATACTGAAGAAAATAACACCTTAAAAAAAGAGGAAGACTGCCTCTGGGTTTAGCTGTTCTCCCCCAGCGATGAAGGTTGAGTTCACCTAGGCAGCTTTTCATGTTCTTCTACAGTACATCCAAATTCAACTTGCTTTTCATAGAAATCTTGCATTGTATTATATCCAGGGCCCAGTTTTTTGACTCTGCCTGTACTCTTTTTTTTTTTTATCAGAGTCTAATTCCCCTATAGATAACAAGTTGCTTAGAGGTATCATCTTTGTGGGGCCCTTTCCACACACTAGAGCTATGGCAATACAATCTTTTAATTATTTGATTCAGGGTGGCTTGCCATCAGTTCACTGGCTTGTGTTTTCCAGAGACGTTAGGCTTTCATAGCAGGACACTATTTCCAGGGTTGGAATTATACCTCTGTTTCTCTCTGATCCTTTTTGGGCTACGTCCACAACAAGGTGGTAAGCCTCTCTCAACTGGTCCCTCCACTGGTTCACACACTGCTATAGTTCTCCAGACCTTATCGTTCCTCCAAAATCACAGGTCAATGTGCAGCCAAGATTCTTGCCCAAATATCAACCTGTGAAGAGTAAAGTTGGTGGCATCATTCCTAGTGGTATTAGAAATGCTACATGATGACTTCACCAAGACTTTGGTTCGGGCTCCAGTGTCCCCAGTATAATTAAACCACTGTGCCTTGAAGATAGAGGGAAAGGAAAAAGAACAAGCATTTATTAAGTGCCTACTATGTGCCCAGCAACGAGGTGATGCAGTGGACGGAGTGTCAGGCCTGGAGTCAGCAAGACTCATCTTCCTGAGTTTCAATCTGGCCTCAGACACTTAGTAGCTGTGCAACCCTGCACAAGTCATTTAACCCTGTTTGCCTCAGTTTCCTTGTCTGTAAAATGAGCCAGGGAAGGAAATGGCAAACCATTCCACTATCTTTGCCAAGAAAATCTCAAAGAGGGTCACAAAGAGTTGGACATGACTGAAACAACAACTGTGCCTGGCACTGTGCTAAGTGCTTTTTTATAAATATTACCTCATTTGATCCTTACAATAATCCTGGGAAGGGGCAGCTAGGTGGAGCAGTGGAGAGAGCCCTGGTGCTGCAGCCAGGAGGACCTGAGTTCAAATCTGACCTCAGAAACTTGACACTTACAGTGTGACCCTGGACAAGTCACTTAACCCCATTGCCCAGCTAAAAAATAATAACAATCCTGGGAGGTAGATACCATTATTATCCCCATTTTACAGTTGAGGAAACTAAGGGAAACAGAGGTTAAGTGACATGCCCAGGGTCACACAGCTGGGCACACACAAGTCTGAGGCTTCTTGACTGCATGGGCCAGGGCTCTATCCTTTACACTACTTGATGCCTCTAAAAGTTGAACATCTGTAACATATAAAGATATAATGTTCACATACAAGATCAAAAGCAATTTCTGAGAAGCTAAATGCACAGATGATAGAGACAGGCAGTTCTCTAAAGAAGAAATCCAAGCTTTATTTTTATATATTTTTAAAAGCCATATTTTTAATAGCCATATTTTTAAAAATGATGTAAGTCACTAATAATTAGAGAAACGCAAATTAAATCAACTCTGGGGCTCCACACTTTACTCTCAACACATTGGCAAAAGCTATAAGAGAAGAAAATAACAATTGTTGGTGGGGTCGTGAAAGAATTGGCACAGATGCACTGTTGGTGGAGCTATGAATTTGTTCCACCATCTTAAGCTTACCCTTTTACCCAGTAAAGGACTCATACGTGCAAGGATATTTATAACAGCTTTTTTTGTTGTAGCTAAGAACAGGGAACAAAACAGGTCCTCGTCATTTGGAGAATGACTAAATGAATTGTGCTACATAAATGTAATGGGATATTATCGCATCATAAAACATGACAAATTTGATGGCTTTCAGGAAACATAGGAAGATTTGCATGTACTGACTCAAAGTGAAATGGGAAGAGCCAGGTAAACAACGTACGTGATGACAACAGCCATAACATGAAGAAAAACAACACTGAAAGAGCTCAGAACTCTGATCCAAGCCATAAGCAATGGTGACTTCAAAAGACTATTGATGAGTTAGACCCCCCATTGCTTGACAGAGAGTTAAAGGAATCAAGATGCAGAGTGAGATCTTTATTCTCAGACATGGATGTTGTGTTGAACTGTTTTCCTGGATTATACATATTTATTACAAAGAAAGACTTCTTACTTGGGGGGAATAGATAATAAAAGAGCATGCATAAAACATTTTTTTAAATGCACAGAAGTGAGCTAAAGAAGGAAATGGCAAACCACTCCAGTATCTTTGCCAAGAAAACCCCAAATGGGGCCATGAAGAGTAGAACACAACTAAAAAAGATTGAATGACAAAACAACTTAATAACAAAAAAAGAAATTAATAACAAAGAAGGAGAAACAATGGCAGATTTGCTGGAACATGTCTTTTCTGTCTGCTCTGTCATGTGAGCTTTTTTGGTACCATTCTCAGAAGAGGTTTCCATGACCCCTGACCCTGAACTTCCTTGGTCCTTAAGCATGGCTGTAACTGGATCACAATCTAAAGGACAATGGTCATGGCTCACACATGTTCAGTGATACCTGCTTTGTCTTGGTCAGCCTCAGTTTGGGGCTCACTTATCTACACCTTAGTGGATCACTCAGGGCCCCACTGTGGTGAATTCCGTGGCTTTTAACACCCTCTGACTGTATATATCCTAACTGTGGTGTTGTAGAAAGATTAACAAATATGTAATCACAGGAACTGGGTCCAAATCCAAGCCTTGCTCTTTGCAACTTTCATGACCTTGGGCAGGTCACTTTGTTTCTTCTGGCCTTAGTTTCCCTAACTGTAGAATGAGAGGATTGGTTCATATGACCTCTAACTTTCCTTTTCCACTTTCGAATCTATAACCCTAACCAGGTAGGTTTTAGGGGAGCTGTTACCCATTTTTAGCCAGTCATAGCTCCTGTAATAACAATATGTGTATTTGCCTTGAGCAGGTGGGCCAGCCACCACATCTTTGATCACTGCTTCCTTCAACGTTCTCTCTAGTCTTTGTACAAAACTGAAGACCTTCTCACCCTTCTCTTGGGAAGTAGTAAGGAATTTAACATGAGTGTCTCCAGTGCTCTCTGTCCCCCCTGAATAGGTACTGGCAAATATTAGAGTACAATTACAGCAGGTCTTCCTTATAGCAAGACAGACATCAAAGGTAGGTGGTTCCCTGAGGCTTTCAAACAGGCACCTCGGTTTTTTCCAAATAGACTACAAATCCATTTTATAAGCCCTCTGTAGCGTGTTCTAGCCATGGTCCAAAGTCTTCCCTAGCCAGCCAAGTGTATAGGACAGACTCAAGGCACTTTCATTCAGGAAGGGGTCATTTTTAGTTTCAATATGTGCCTCACTGACTGTTCCAGTCTCTCAGCCCATTCCCCTGGGGACACCAAGTCACTGACCGAAGAAGAAGGAAGTCTCACACCTCAGTGGTCCCATCCTATTCTGCATGACCATCCTTTCTTCTTGGTGAAAGACCTTGTTATGTTTAAAATGTGCTTAGAGTTGGGGCTGCTAATTAGCTTCCAGATCTCCCCCTCCCCACATGCACTTACTCTATTTGTTTAGGGACCTGAGAGGACTCTACTTATGTAAGGCAGCAACTGCATTGGCTTCCCTTCCCCAGCATGCTATACCCACCCCAAAAGTCCACAGAGTATTTCTAAAGGTAATCTAGTCCCAAACCCCTCCCCCATATCAATGGAGAAATCTCATCTCCTAGTGAGCAGCTATTATGGCTCACTCCTCACCCTCCAGCCCAATTAAGTTTAATGGTCCTTAGCTTTGTCTTCCTTGTTTGCAGGCAGTGCAGTGCTGATAATCCTCATGCAGAAATAAAATCCTGGAAGATCCTCATTCCTCTCCTCCCCCTCCTAAATATAACCTTTGTATCAGAGTCTCCTTCCTGATGTGAAGAGCCTGGATACCCTTTGGATACCCCATAGGGATGATTTGGGAACTTCAATATCTTGTAGTGCCCAATCCTAGACACCAGCTCCCCTTATAAGCACATGGGCTCATAAGGCTGGGGACATAGTTTTATTCATAAGCTAATAAATACAATAAAGACTGGCAGTTATGTCTATAGAAAATTGAATTATTTCCCTCTTTCCTTTAGGCCCCAGGTCATTCCTTTCCCACCTGGGTCAGCATTCTCTGTTGGGATTTAGAGTTTGGCAAGAGCCCTTCCCTAATTTCCCCCTGCCTTCACATGATAGCTGAGATGGGTGTAGAAAGGAGAAGCAATGGCACCATGTTCTTTCAGTTGTGGTGCTTAGATGCTGTTACACTCATATGCTGCCCCCCCCACAAGAATATTCATCACCTATCCAAATCCTACCCAACCTTTAATGCTCACTCGAACCCGTTTCCCTCCAGGAAGCCTTCTTTGACTGTGCTAGCCCATGAGATTTAAACCTTGAAGCCACCTTAGAGATAAAAAAACCTTTATGTCATATGTGAAGGTCTGCAAAGTGCTTTGTACATGTCTCATCTGATCAACTGATCCAGCTGACTCATTTTACAGACAAGGAAACTGAGGCCCAAGAAGTTAAATGACTTGCCCAAGAAGTATATGGGAGGCTGGGATTTGAGCCCAGTTCTTCTCATGGCAAATCCATTTCTCTCATTGTTACACTATGACTATTCTTGGATCTCCTATAAGACTTACTGTCTCATTTGTCATTTGTCATAAATGTGTGCTGATGTTCTCTGTTTCACATGAGTAACCAGGCTGGAGATGCCCTAAAGATAAGAACCATGCTTCGTATTTCTCTGTCTGTAGAACTGGGAAAAGCACATGGGAAGGGTCCAGAGTTCCAGAATCTCAGAGATGGACAGAGCTTCAGAGACCACCTAGCTTAACTCATACCTGGGCAAGAAGCCCCCCTCTGACATCCCTAACAAGCGACCATTTTCACTTTCATTCCAACTGCCTGAAGACCTCCAGAAACAAGAACCCTGTCACTCCTGAGGTAGTCATTTCCTTCTTGGATCATCTTAATTTTAACAAGGTTTTCATCATAGCAAGTCTACATTTCTGCCACTTTTACCCACTGATCCTGATTCTTCTGTCTAGAGCCAAGCAGAAGTTGGTCTAACATCCTATTCCATATCACTGCCTTCCATGTACTTGAAGATAGCTACCATGCTTTCCTCTTCTCTTCCTTGGGCTAAGCTCTCTCAATTTCTTTGGGTGATTCTCATATGACATAATTTAGCGGGCCCTTCACCACCCTGGAGGCCCTCCTCTCATGGCTCACCAACTCACCAATCTCATTCCTATAATATTATTCCCAGAAGAGGAAACAATACTTTAGAGATGGTTTGACCAGAACAGCATACAGTATAGTATAGCATATAGGACAATCCCCTCCCTAGACATGGGTACCATGGCTCGTTTTAGCCTTATATTAGGCAGTACTTTTTTTGGCCTCCATATGAAGCTAGTACGTGGTACAACGGATGGAGTGTTGACTCTGGAGTCAGGAAGGCCTGAGTTCAAATTGGACCTTAAACACTGAACTGTGTGACCCTGGGCAAGTCAACCTCTGTCTGTCTCAGTTTCTCCAATGCTAAAATGTGGATAATAATAGCACTTAATAATTGCTTTTTCCCCTTCTCAAATGTGGATAATAATAACACTTAATGAATGCTTTTTCTCTTCTCCTTGACTCATGCTGAAATTGCAGTCAACTAAAATTCCAAGGTCTTTTTCAGATGAACTGCTACCTAATTATTCCTCCTTCAATTCGTATTTGGGATATTGAGTTTTTTTAAACAACAGTGTAGGACTTTACATTTATTCCTATTAAATTGTATCTTATTAGATTTGGCCTTATGTTCTAGTCTACTGAAATTATTTTGGACCCTGACTCTGTCATCCAATGTGTTAGCTTCCTCTTCTATCTTAGGGGTCATTGGTTGTTTTACTTGGTGGTAGTGATTTCTTAATTCTCATCCCATTCCATCCCTATCTCTTTTTTCACTCCTGGTTGGAGTTTAAACTCAGATAACAACAACAACTAATAATAATAATAATAGTGATAGCTAGCGTGTATATAGCACTTTGAGGTTTGCAAATTGCTTCACAATTATCTCATTTGACCATCACAACAAGCCTTGGAGGTAGGTGTTATTATTATCCCAATTTTACAAATGAGGAAACTGAGATAAACAGTTATGTGACTTGCCCAGGATCACACAGCTAGGAAGTGTCTGATTTGAACTCAGGTCTTCCTAATCCCGGGTCCAGCAGTCCACCTGTTATGTCACCTCAGTACCTGATGACTCTGTACCGAGGCCAGATACTCACCTTATATAATTCGAGAGGAGTCGGTGACATGATTTCCAGCATCTCCTCCTTGACTGTCTGCATTTTCAAGCCTTCTTCTGCTACCTTGGTAGGGCCCACGTGGTCCTCACTTGGTTCCCGGTTCCCCTGCTGGAAGGTTCCTTTCCACCAGGGGCTTCGTCCAGTTGACCCTGATGATGGGTCCAAGGTCACAGGGCTGCTGTCTAGGCCCAAGCTGTGCACATTCCCTGTCATGATGGAAGCCTGTAGAGAGGAAGAGAGTTAGGCAAGTGATATTGGAATAATGTAAATGGCTGCACTGGGATAGACCCAGAAAGGGCAAAACACAACTGAGGACTAGGCAGGAATGGGAAGGTGGGGTTCTTTGGATAAAATGAGAGATCCTTAATAGGTAGAGTACAAGGTTAAGGTCCTTGTGCTGGGCACAACACACTCAACAGCTGTGTAACCTTGGGCAAATCACCTTTTTAGGAGTCAATTTCAACTCCTGTAAAATTATGGGTTTGAACTAAATGATCTCCATTCCTTCTCCCCCATTCTGTGTTTGAAGTACTAGATAAGGAGGACAAATTCGGACATATTTACATTAGAAATTCAGGAGGACCAGGATTCAGGCCTGGTCTGGTAAGTACACAGAGTAGTTGGTACTGAGTGTTGTGCTTGAGTGACCACTAGGAAAGCCCCTCTGCCCAATGACCTTTGTCTCTGAGTGCCTGCCACATTCTGCCATGAGAGTTTCATTCATTTAGGGCTTTCAGGATTTTCACACCATAAGTAAGGGAACGATGAAATTATGATGTGGTGGAAAGACCAATGGACTGGGCATGGGGACACCTAGGATTGAATTCTGGTTCTGCTTCTTACTACACGGGAGATCTTGGATGATGCCAATCACAATAACTAGCATTTATATAGTCTTTTAAGGGTCATAAAGCACATTACACATGCTAACTCACTTGACCCCTCTGACAACCCTACGAAGTAGGTGCTGTTATTATCCCCATTTTACAGATAAAAAACTGAGGCACAAAGAATTTAAATGACTTGCCCAGCATCACACAGCTAGTAAGTGTCTGAGGAAGGATTTGAACCCAGGTCCCCCATGCTCTAACCATTGGGCAACCTGGCTGTCACTTAGATTCTGTTTCCTCATCTCTAGGATAAAGGATTAGACTAAATATTCCCAAAGGTCCCTTCCAGTTTCAATAATCTGTGAATTGAAAATGTAGCTATCCCCCTGAAGAAGAACTCTTTAAACTACTGTCACTATTTAACCTTCCTTTGCAGGTCAAGTGCCTCAGGGAATGAGAGTCTGGATGGGAAACAGGGGAGTCCAAGGATTCCTCATCTTCCCTTCTCTTGGCCACAAGTAGGGTCCCAGAGGAGGTGATAATGTGACTGGCAGTAACCTAGAGAAGATGATTCACAGATCTAATCTGAGCTTTGGTGCCATTCTGACACATGGGTTTTTGAGCCTCAGCATAGCCTCCATCCCCAAATAACCCTGATTAGCAAGTACCCAGAATGTTCCAGGCTGTCTCAGGCTGAGTTGCTGTGAAGCTAGTTCTCACCATGAGGATGCATCATGGCTTAGTGAATAGAGAACCGGCTTAGATCCAAGAAGTTACCTGAGTTGGGCCCCACCTCTGACACATCCTGACTCTATGACCTTGGACATAGACTATAAGCAGTAGGAAAGGTACCACTTCACACTGGTAGAGAAGAGTTTCCCCATCTGGGAGTTCCTTATACAAAGGGAATCATAGGTCTAGTCTCTACTGCTATCCTGTTCTCATCCAAATCCTAGCCATCTGCCATGACCCACCTGACATCCCACCTCCCCCCGGAAACCTTCTCTGACTACTCCAGCCTACATTGATGTCCCTCATCTTTGAACTCCTATTGCCACGTAGTCTGCCTAACACACCTAACTGGCCTCTAATACATGTGTTGGAGCAGCTAGGTGGTACAGGAGATAGAGCACGGGGCTTGGAGTCAGGAAAACTCATCTTTGTGAGTTCAAATCTGGCCTCAGACACTTACTAGCTGCGTGACCCTGGGCAAGTCATGTAACTCTGCCTCAGTTTCCTCATTTGTAAAATGAGCTGGAGAAGGAAATGACATGCCACTCTAGTATTTCTGCCAAGAAATCCCCAAATGGGGTCATAAAGAGTGAGACGTGACTGAAAGGACTGAACAACAACAATAAATATGTGCTATTTCCCCAAGTAGAATATAATAATAATAATTTGCATTTATGCATAATTGTAAGGTTACAAACCTCTTTATCCTTAACAACTTTATAAAGTAGGTAGTAAAAATATCATCTGTATTTCTCAGATGAGGAAACTGAGGTTCTTAGAGGTTAAGTGATTTGCCCAGGATCACACAGCTGGTAAATAAGAGGCTATATTTGAACTCAGTCTTCCTGACTCTAGGTCCAGCACTCTATCCACTGGGTCAGCCCTCAGTCTTGAAATTCACTTTTTCCTTGGCTTCCATGTCACTTCCTTCCCTCTTGGTTCTCTTCCTACAACAGTGATCACTCCTCTGTTTTCTTTAACATCTCATCTTCTACTTATCCCCTAAATGTGGGGTGCTCCTTCAAGGTTATACCAACATTCTGCTCTTCTCTCTCTTGTCATGCTCTCTTTTGAAAACATTCTCTATTTTCGCCTTTTCAACATTCCATTGGTAGACAGTTCCCAAATCTGGGTCTCTGACTCTATCCATCAGCCTTGTATTTCCAACGTTCTTTTGGGGCATCTCCTTTTGGATGACTTGTAGTCACCTGAAACTCAACATAACCCAACCCAAAATCACCAACTCATCCCCAGAAATGAAATTTATTACCTTACCCCCTTTTAGCTGTCATGGATCTGTCATGTATCACTACCCCCATTATGCAAACTATACACGTTGACCTTTAACTAGATATGGAAGATGAAGGAAGATTCAGTCACCACAACCATTGGTAATTGTCTTCAGGACCAATTTAAAATCCCCTCCTCCCAAAATATAGTGTCATTGATTTATAGTCATACCTTTCTTGGACCAAAATTAGGATTCCCCAGCTAGACCCTCTACTTTAGTCACAAGATTTAGCCCTGAATGGATTTGGGTCTCTGAAAAAAATAAATCCACCCTCTAGGGGCCAAGATTTGTTACCACTGGATTATAAGGATTGTAAGATTTAGAACTGGTAAGGACCTTGGAGATCAGCTATTTCAGCACACTCATTTTATACATGCATCACAACTGATGCCTGGAGATATGGAGAGATTTGCTGAAAATCATACAGGATATGTCAGAGGTAGGAATCAAACCTAGATCCTCCAATCCCAAAGCTAGCTCATTGGCCAATATATCACATTGTAAATTTTGAAGGTTCTGAGAGGCTGCACCATAACAGGAGCTCCTTCTATGCTCAAGCATGGTCAGTCTATGGATTACTTCCCAAGGGTCATGACATTTGGGAGAAAACATAAGTTCTGATATGTCCAAATAAAGTTTAGCAGATCAAATCACTTCTACCTAAAGTGTATTTGTGTTGTGAGAGTGTTTACTCTTTAGTTCTAGGGAACTCTGAAGAGGAATATTACACACACACACACATACACACACACACACACACACACACACATGTCCACCATCTTAGGTTTTAAAAGTGGAACTGACTTTTCCTGAGAGATCATCTAAGCCTGAATTCCTCATTTTACAGAGAACAAAACTGGGGCCCAAAGAGGTTAAGTACAAAAGTGGACCGTGTATAGAAACACACAGTTTGAATCCAGTCTTTGTCCATTACTATCTATGAGACCTAGAGGCAAGTCATAACCTACTTGGGCTTCAGATCCCTCATCTATAAAATGAGGGGGCTGGATTAGAAGGCCACTGTGGTCTTTTCTTGTTTTAAATCCTATGATTCTCAGTGTGTGTGTGTGTGTGTGTGTGTGTGTGTGTGTGTGTGTGTATGTGTGTGTGTGTAATACCAATCACCCAGGACAAATCCATAGTGTTAGATTGGATGACCTCCTAAGGTACCTTCTAACTCTGTGTCTATGATCCAATGATTCTAAGATTCAGTGTCCCACAGGTAGCTAGGATGCAAATCCAGGTCTTCTGGGTTCCAGTTAAAATTTTCTTTCTTTTTTCCCATTTTATCTTATTTTTATTCATTTATTTATTGGTATCATATGTTGGTTATATTTATTTATTGGTGTCAACAAATACCAAATAAAGTGAACACTTCCAAGACAGAAGAAGAGGACTGTATATGAAATTGTGAATCTGTTATATATTGCTCGTTTTTCTTTTGAGAAAAGTTGTACCATACCACCTCATGCATATCTCCCTTACATGATTGAAACTGCTTTCTTGAGGTTCACCAATAACATCCTAATCACCAGATGCATTGTATGACCGTTTCTTCATCCTCATCTCCATAGGCTCTTAAGATACTAAATCTAGAGCAAGAAGGGACCTCAGAGACAAGTTTCCCTGACTTTTCTGCCATACAAAACATCCAACGTGCACCTTTCAAAGCTGTCGTGCTTATCTGTGCTCTCTTCTGCTATCCTTTCCAGTGTTCTTTCCATGGCACTGTGCAGTACCTACTTGCCTATGATATGTACTAACCCATCAAATCTTCCCCAGAGGCTTCAGATTGATCAAGAGCCCATCACCTTTTCAGCCTTCTAATGCCAACCACTAACAGTATTGACTTACCTCAATCTCCCTCAGAAGCTCAGACTGGCCGCATGTTTCCAAGTCCTCCAGAGCTTCTCCAAAAACACGCCAAAAATTATCCTCGTGAGCGGGCTCCGGGCCATTGTGGCGGCCGGGGAATCTGTTGTAACGTAGGAACCAAAGATTGTCAGCGCTCGCTCTTCTCGGGGAGGACGGAAGCCAGAAAGCCTAGCTTGCGGGGACCGCCAGCAAAGCAGAGACTTGAGGAGTCTTCATATACAAAAGCAAACAACATGAACTTTTCATCAGGCAAGGGAGTCCCAAATACAAAACCTTCATGCATTTACTACCAGGGCAAGCGGCCCCTTCAGAGGATGCCTGAAGTTGGTGTAGCAATGTCAAGTTCGAGAGGGGAAAAAAAACGAAAATATGCCTGAAGGAACACTGGAGGTTTGGGAAGACGTTTTTTGGTGAAATAGAGAAGTGAAAAGGAAAAAAATGATGCATTATGGGTGAACCAGGAGCTTCAGAGACTGGTTAGTACAAGGGCGGATGAGACAGGGCTGAGAGCTGAGACACAGAACACCTGAGAAGAGAGAGAGAAAAACACAGAGGATACAGACAGAGTGAGAAAAAATGGTAACTACATAGCAGGTCTCCAGAGACTCAATAACAGAAAGGATGTAATAGAAAATGGCGGCCTTTGACCAGACACACAAATTCTGAGTGTTTCAATAAAATGTATTCACAGTGTGATTTAGACTCATAGAATGTCAAGGCTGGAAGGAGCCTTAGAACACAGGATGTCAGAGCTGAAAGGGGCCTCAGAACACAGAACATCAGAGCTGGAAGGGACATTAGAACATAAAATGTCAGAGCCGGAAGGGGCCTTAGAATAGAGAGTGTCAGGGCTGGAAGGGACCATAGAACATAGAACACCAGAGCTTTAAGGGGCTTTAGAATATAGGTCAAAACTGGATGGGGCCTCAGAACACAGACTATTATAACTGGGAGGGACCCTAGAACATATGATATCAATTTTAGAAGTAAACTTACAATACAGAAGAGTAGAACATGGAATGTTGGAGCTGGAAGGAACTTTAGGAATCATTTAGTCTAGTGTCTTCATTTTATAGATGACTAAACATTCATTTCCCCAGAAAGGAGTAATAACTTGGTCAAAGTCATGTTTTGGTAAAGTCAAGGCAAGGACCCAGGTTTCTTAATTCCCAGTCCATCCCTCTTTCTACTACACCTTGCAAATACACATGGAAATCTAAATATTGTCATTTAGACTGTCATAGAGTAAGACACTATTGGTCTTGGGGATGTGCCACATGACTACACTGTCTACAGGTGGGTAAAAAAAGATTCGACTAGCTGTGTGACCCTGGGCAAGTCACGTAACCCCAATTGTCTAAAAAAAAAAAACAGAGTTGAAGTTCAAAATGTCAGAAATATTCTTGAGATTTTATTGTTTGAAAAATGAAGGATATGGCTGAAGACATGAAGACATTGGAGTCGTGAACTTGAAACTGAACTATAATATGTGTTTCACGGTTCCATGATCATTATGTCTGAGGTATCCATGAGTAGGATGAAGAGGATGATAAAGTAGACCACTGAAGGCTTACTTTGATGCCCAGAATAAGGACTAGTAATTTTAGTCCCTGGGACAAACAGTACTAAAATTTCCTAGGTCAAATATACTCTGAAATTAATTTTAAAAGAAAAATTACTTTGAAGAGGGTGGTGGGACATCATCACATGGTAGAGAGATAGAGACCCAAAGACCTCCAGGGTAGAGAGCATGGGATACTATGAGTGAGATCAGAGAGCAGCTCAACTTGGGTGTGGGCAGGGTATCATTGCCGTGGGCAGCTTTCTGTTTTAACTGATTAACAGCGCCTCCTGTATTTGGCATCCTGTTACAAAGTGCTGTTTGCCCCACCCTAGTTAAAACTCTGTAGATGAATCTTGTGGCAGGGAGTTCTCCATGTGACATCAACTCTACCAGACCCTATTGAGCTAGAATAGTTTTTAATATGAACTCAGCTTGGAACCAGCCTCACTAAGCTTACAGTCTTTTCATCAGAAAGCTAGCCATCAGGTGATGAATCACTCTGGTCATGCTTACTCATTAAGACCACACATACCCAGGATATGACTTACATTGGTGGAGTTGTCCTCATGCTGATGAAATGACTCTTTTGGAGCACTGAAATATCCCTAAAGTATTCCAGGGTAAAGCACATGTGTGCCAGACTGGATGTTGTCTGAGCTTCTGACTCGGAGGTGATGGTAAATATTTTAAACATCGGCTTCTTTAAGATACATGCTTCAATACTTTTATGGAAGATTGGTTACTAAAGTGTGTATCCATTTTATTGAAATCCCCTGTACATTTCTAATTCTATCTACAGTCAACAATAGTACGTACCCATAGATTAAATTCCCTGACTGAGTTGTCAGCAAGGAATGTGAAACCAGTCATGAAGAAGCTTTCTTCTGCCTCATTTTTAGTCTCCTTGCTAAAAACGAAGGTGCCCCTTTATTCAACCCTGGGTTGTGTGCATCAGGTTCATTTTTCTCTAGGGACACCAAGGGCAGAAGGTAGAGTTTGATGCTTTGAGGTCATGGATTCTATGACCTTCTGAAATAGCTGGGGAAAAAAGGAGGGACTCCTTTTAAGCCAAAGGTCTCATTCTTGAGAAGTTATCCATCCAAGTGGAAAAACAAACAAGCCAAAAAACAACTATGAGAAAGGAATTGCATTCTGTGATCCATATGTACTCCTGTAAGATGCTGCTGAAGGAGCTTTCTTGGTTGAGGTGGCCATAGGGACTTCTCTTTCCCTCTCTGGTGCTAAGCCCTGAGTCAGATTTCATTTCGCTTTCAAAACACATAAGCTCTGCTCACACACATACTCTTTGTTCATTCTGAAAGCTGCCAGGAGCTAGCCCTTCCTTGAGTTAACAGCTGGGTCTCATCAGATACCTAAAGGACACCAGAAGGTCCTAGCAACATCCATTCTTAAGTCTCTGGTCCCAGATTTCTGGAAGAGAAACAACTTAGACCAGAGAAGTCAAAAACTAATCCCTTAGTGAAATAACATGTGGTTTGTGTTTGGCTATGGCTTTCACACAGCTCTGGGGAGGCACTGGCCAGGACACCGCTGTGATCGGAAGGTCCTGGACCCATAATGGGCACATAGTTCTCTTCTCTTAAAGTGTGTCTGTAGGGGGTAGAGGATGGGAGACTTAGGAGATACATAGACTCATTATCATCATCATCATCATGGCTAAGGATCAGGCTTTGGCTCACCTATGAATTAATGACATTTGCACAGTGTTTTACAAAGTTTACAAAGTATTTTCCTTTCAATAAGGGTGGTAAGGATAAAGAAGGAAGAGAAAAGAGGATGGGTAGTGCAAGTGTTTTATAGAGAAGGGAAACAGGTTTGAGAGGTGATCACAGTCTCAGAATGTGCTGGAAGGGGCCTTAGAACAGGGAGTGTCAGAGCTGGGAGGGGCCTTAGAACAGGGAGTGTCAGAGCTGGAGGGGCCTTAGAACAGGGAGTGTCAGAGCTGGGAGGGGCCTTAGAACAGGGAGTGTCAGAGCTGGAAGGGACCTTAGAACCCAAAATGTCAGAACTGGGAGGGGCCTTAGAGGGAAGGGTCAAGGTTGGGAGGGGCTTAAGAACTTATCTAATCTAATTCTCTCCTGAAATTTGGAATAATTAAGGTCCTGTTGTTACCAACAGCCACTGGTTTGTTTATACATTCAGCTCCCCAGGTTATCCCAGTTATCATTCCCTTCTTAGCTTTGAATGGCACAGAGATGGGTGAAGGACAGATGGGATTTCTTTTGGTACTGGGGAGGGGGGAGGGAAGGGGGGGCGGGGGAGAGAGAGGTAATCTCTCTCATTCTTTTCATCAGGAGGCCGGCTCGGGTCTTATTGAAATGAACAGTTCTCTTTCTCAGAGCTCTAGACAGAAAGCTAATGATCAAATGGGATAAGAACTGTTCCCTGTTCCCAAGCAGAGCCCCAAGGTCCTAGACTATATTTGTCCCAAAGCGAGGCCCCAGGCTAATTGAATAGGCTTTTCTGTAAATGGGAGCACGCAAGCAAGGGACCTTACTGTTAACAGACAAGAATAAAAGGAGATGAAATGACAGAGAGACAGGATCCTGGGGCTGAGTTGTTGGCAGAAGGAAAGGAAAGGACCAGGAGATGATCTGCTGCCTGACTGGCCCTTACTGCTCTCAGAACGGGGAGGAGAGAGAGCCTTCCCACTGGAGGTCCCGGAGGCAGCCAGTTGGATCTTGACTCTCTCCCTTCCCTACTCCTTGTCGTGATTTTTCTTGGGGAATGGCTTTTTAATTCAGCCAAACTCAACAGCTGCACACGTCTAGTTTCCTTAGAGTAGTGGTTCTTAATTTGGGGTCCACGAGCCTTTTTTTTAAGTTCTTTCTTTAAAAAATCAATTATTTCATTTATTTATGATAATTGTTTTTTTCATGGAAAACATATTTCCATGATGAACTTATTTTAAAAAAGCATTTTGACAACTGTATTTCAATATAATTGGTTTCTTTTGCAATCCTATGTATTTTATTTTATGCATTTAAAAGCATTATTCTGAGAAGGTTTCTGTAGTGCCGGCCAGACCGCCAAAGAGCAGCTAGATGGTGCAGTGTGTAGTGCTCTGGGTCTGGAGTTAGGGAGACCTGAATTCAGATGTGGTCTTACATAGTTGTATGACCCCAGGAAAGTCACTTAACCCATTTGCCTCAGTTTCCTTATCTGTAAAATGGAGATACCTTTCAGGGTTGTTGTGAGGTTCAAATGAGATAATACCTGTAAATCACCTTGCAAACCTTACATTGCTATATAAGTGCTAATAGTAGCAAGCAAGCATTTATGCAATGCTTTAAAAATAAAAACAATAGCTGACATTTCTGTAGTACTTGTTACCCGCCAGGCACTATGCTAAGCTCTTTACAATTATTATCTCATTTGATTCTCACAACAACCCCAGGAGGTGCCATTATTATCCCTACTTTACAGTTGAGGAAACTGAGGCAAACAGCACTGAAGTGACTTGCCCACGGTCACACAGCTAGTGTCTGAAGCAGGATATTAACTCAAGTCTTCCAAACTCCAGGTCCAGGGGTCTACCTACTTCACTCTCTACCTGTCTTTAATAGTAGGTGCTAGTTATAATTAAAGGGCTTTCTGATACAAACCAAACAAACGAATTCTGCTGTAGGGCAAAAAGAGTCAGGAATGATGGTTCCTCCTTCAGTCTGAGTCGGTTCCCAGACTCTTAGGAGACCAGGGAAGAACCTAGTTTGATTTGCTCTAGTTCTCCAAAGACAGGCCTGGCCTGGATTGGAGACACAGGATACCCTGGGCAGTGGGACCACATCCCCTCTTGCTTACAGCCCTCTCCTCTGAGTCACAAGGCACAAGTGAGCAGGAGAGTGGGGATGGCTCAGTGCAAACCTATCCCCTTTACTGGCAAAATGTCCTCGTGGCAGTGGGTTGGCCTGCCAAGGACGATAGCACTTCATTCCTGGGTTCTACTGAAGGAGTGATGGCTGACTGGGGAAAGGGGGATGTGAGACTAGAGTTTCCAGGTCTAGACGGTCAAGCCCTTGGGAAGCAGGAAGGGAAAGGGAAGTGGGAGAGAGGGAAGAGGAAGCAGAGCCTGGTGACATCCTGCTGCCCAAGTGGCCAAGTTCCCTGCTGGAGGCTCTGGCCCATCTACACATAGGAGCACGGGGCTTAGAGTTGGGTGGGACCTTAGCTTTCTAATGGGAAAGAAAGAAACCTGTGTTCTTCCTCTTCACCCCTCCCCCCCCATCCTAAGCAGGCTTAAGAGAGTAAACGTTGATTTTCACCCTCCCTCTGTCTCATCCCCTACAGACCTAGTGGGCTTGTCCCATTCATCCTCAGGGAAGCTCCCATCCGGGTAGGGGTAGCTGGTCTTTCTGGGCTCCCCAGGAGGGGGGCTGCTCTTCACCCTACTGGGCCGCCACTCCTGGGGATGCAGGCTGATTCCTGCAGCTGGAGGTACATACGTGCCTGTGGATCGAGCAGAGAAAGAAAAGGCCAACAGCTCACGAGGCCTCTGGGATGGGGGAGTCACAAAACCTCAGGAAACCATCTTTATTTTTTATGGGCCACCTTCTCCTCCCCATCCGCCACCTCCTACTAGACTGTCCCCAGGAAACACTAGACCTGTTCCCAATGTGAGGTCTTTATCCTTGTCATTCTGATTTTCACCCACACGCTCTGCTGTGTTTTCTACACTGGTCCACTCTCCACTCATTTAGGGAGCCTTCCCTGACCACCCCAGTCCATAGGAATCTATCCCTCTGCTAGTTTCCTATAGTGCTTAGAACTGATACCATGTGACTTAGCACTTGGCTACAGGTCAAGAATTCAATCATTGTCTCATATAATATTAACAATAATTATACCTATAGAGCACTGTGGTTTACAAAACACACCTGTCTGCTTACTAGTCTTCATATACAACCATCCATCTCTCGTGGCTGTCTCTGACGTCCCTGTCTCTGACTCTTAGAAATATGTGTGTGTATGTGTGTGCGTATGTGTATGTGTATGTGTGTGTGTGCATATATATATATATATATGTATATATATATGTATGTGCTTATATATATGTAAATAGACATAAATGCACAATATACATGCAATATATGTATATGTGTATATTTACATATAATATAAGGAATATATGTGTATATATACAGTTATACACAATATATAGATATATGTATATGTAGTATGTATCTCTATATATATGTGTGTGTGTGTGTGTGTGTGTGTGTGTGTGTGTATTTGGTCTTCTCCATTAGTGCCTGGTACATAGCAGTGGCTTAACTGCCTGTTGACTGTTTACTTTCCTAGCAACAATTCTTTAATTATTATTATCGTATATTATCATCCTCATTTTCAAACAAAAAAGTGAGGCAGCTATTTATTGGGGAGCACATATCTCTCTAACAAGTCATACAACAGGGCCACAATTTGGACTTTGGTGTTCTGACACATGTAGGTTAGCCTTGTCTCCCCAGCTAGAATTCTTCAATTTGATCTAATATAAATTCATCAAGCACTTACTATGTAGAATAGAGCACTGTGCTAGGGTCCAGCATAGAAATCAATCAATCCCTGCCCCTCAAGCAGCTTACATTCTAACTGAGGTGTGAGTGTGGGCGTGTGTAGAGGGGGAAGGAGATGTAACACATCTGTGGATAAACAAATATAAAATGCAGATAGGCAGCTAGATCCTGATTAGTATGAATAATGGTCATCTTTTTTGAATTTTCATTATATATTTCTATTGGGCTAGAATCAATTACCATATTTTACATATAATTATACTACGACTAGTACAAATTAGAATAATGCCACCACTTCATTATTCACACTAGGGTGAATAGTTGGAGTCCCCTGTAATTTCAGGAGGGAAAGAGCGCTAATAGTTAGGGATCGAGAAGCTCTTCATGGATGGGCAACTAGGTGGTGCAGTGGATAGAGTGCAAGGCCTGGAACAGAAAGACTCATCTTGCTGAGTTCAAATCTGGCCTCGGACACTTACCAGATGTACAGTCCTGGGCAAGTCACTTAGCCCTATTTGCCACAGTTTCACCATCTATAAAATGAGCTGGAGCCAAGAAAATCTCAAATGGGGTCATGAAACATTGGACACGACGGAAATGACTGAACAACAACAAAGAGGTTCCTGGAATAGGTACGAGTTGAGTTGAACTTTAAAGGAAAATTCTTAGAGATGGGGCAGAGGAGCACATTGTAGACGTGGTGGGGCACCTACACACAGGTATGGAGGTGGAAGACAGACTGCTACATTTGGGGAATGGTTAGTGGGCCAATTGTGCTAAAGAATTCACAAAGGGAGGTAGTAGGAAATTAGTTTCGAAATGCAGGTAAGACCCAAGCTGTAGAGGGCTTTAAGTGGCCATCCAGAGGGTTTATCTTAGCAGCAATAAAGAGCTTGTGACAGCTTTAAACAAGCAGGTGTCGTGGTTAGATGTGTGTCTTGGGAAGAGTATTTTGGTAGCAGTGTAGATAATCAGTTGGAGAGGGGTGGCCTGAAAGCTAGAAGACCAATCAGGAGGCTAATGTAATAGGTTGGGCAAAAGGCCTCAACGGCATGAATTAGGGCAGTGATCACAAGTTTGAGGAGAAGGGAATAGATGCAAAGGCCAGAATCAATAGGACTTGGCAACTTAATAGGTATAGATGTAAGAGGGAGGGAGGAATCTGGGATAACTCTGAGAATGGCTTCTGTTTTGGACATGCTGAATCTGAGATACTAATGGGACATCCAAGGAGAGATGTTGAGCAGGCAGCTAATGATATAGGACAGCTCAAGACAGAAATTAAGGCAGGAGCTATAGATTTGAGTCATTTGCTTAGAGATGACAATTGACCCCCCCCCCCCAAAAGCTGATAAGATAACCAAGAGAGAAAATGTAGACAAAGAAGAGAAAGGACCTGGGAAAAAGCCTTGGAGGACACCTATGCTTGATGGGCAAGAGGGAGATACTGATCCACAGAAAAGTTGGAGAAGGAGTAGTCAGAGAGGTGGGAAAACCAGGAGAGAACAGTGTCATTCACTCCAAGGAAGTAGAGAATACCCAGGAGGAAAGGGTGGTAGATAATGTCAAAAGCTGCACACAGCTCAGGTGGAATGGGGACTGAGAGGATGTCACTGAATTTGTCTGTTAAGGGATTGCTGTACCTTTGGACAGAAAAATGTCTTCAGGATGGAAATTTGGGAAGTTAGATTACAAGGGGAGAGAGAGAATAGGAGTAGGAAGAAATGGAGTTAACAAGGTTGACTGTAAAAGGAAGAAGAGATGGAGATTAATAGATTGAAGGAATAGCACGGTCCAGTGAAGGATGGGGAAGGTCTATCTATGTCTGTGGGCAGCAGGAAAGAACCAATGGATACAAATATATTAAATATGGGAGACAGACAGACAAACACGGAGAAAGAAACAAAAAAAAAGAGAGACAAAGAAAGAGAGAGCGAGAGAAAGAAAGAGAAAGAGATCAAGAAGATATGCTCCCAGAAGAAATAGAAGGGTGGGATCCAGAGCACATGTATGGAAGCTGACTTCGGCTTCTTCCTTAGAGAATGGAGCAAAGATCAAGAGGATAAGGAATAATATAGAAATTATTTGAGTGAGGTGAAGAATAGGAAGAAGAGGCAACTCAAAATTGATAGCTCATTTTCTCAGCAGGAGAAAGGATAAATTAGTTTTAGTTCGGGACTGATTGAGGTTGGATAATATTTGCAATGGGTCCAGGTGGCATGGTTGTGTGACTTTTTTCTATTGTGCTCAACATTCATGTAGAAGCAGAGTAGATGCATGGTGAGGGTAACCTAGGGTAGATTTTACCTAGTCATGAGCAATGGTAGGGCAAGAAGAAAGGAATTCACAGGTAGAGGGTATGAGCTAGTCAACTACAGGGTCAAGATTGTGAATGGTGGAAAGTGAGTCCAGAGAAGGGTGACAGACTAGAAGAATAAGGAGAGGAAGGATTGGAGATCACAGTCAGAATGAAAAATAGATTTAGGAAGAATGAGGCAGAGGGAGAGATGAAGGATAAGAGGTTATGATTAGAGAAGATACTTTCAAGATTCTAGGTAATGGGCTGGGCTAGCTATAGGAGATGGTGCTAACTAATGTGTGGTCAGCCTAATGAGCAGCTGAAGAACAGAGACTTAGGCCAGGGACCTCAGAAGGTGGATGAAATGGGAGACCCAAACATTCAAGGTCACATCAATGTATATATTTAAGTCCCCAAACATAAGGGCAGGGGCTAGGATGAAGAGGAATGTTGTGAGTTAGGAACAGAATTTCTTGAGAAAAGAAGGGATAATGACCTGGAGACTATTAGGTGACTGAAACAAAAGACTCAGGCTTGATGATAGATAGTAAGGGATGAAGACCACCTTCAAGGAGACATTACTGAATGAGGGGGGCAAGGGGATAACATGAAAGTGGCAGTGAGGAACACTCACTGCCCTTCCTTCTTTTCCTCCTGGCTTAGAGGGTTGGGGAGAACAGGAAAGGAAGACTCTTTCAGGCACTGGAGACGGTAGGTGGGGATTCAGTATCTTTCATCGGGAGACTGCTCCCATAAAGATGAAAAGAGAGTGATATGACGAGACCTAGGATGAAGAGAAGTTAGTCATCACTGGTGGTAGTGGGGCTGGGGATGGCTCCAGGTCTGAGGAAGCCAGGTGGTCTAGCAAATGGAGTGCCAGACCTGGAGTCAGAAAGACTCAAGTGTGAATCCTGTCTCAGACACTCCTAGCTATGTGAACTCTGGGCAAGCCATTTCATTTCTCTGGGCTTCCCATTTCTTCATCTATAAAATGAGTGAGTTGGAGTCAGTGGTCTTTAAGGAACCTCCCAGCTTTCAGTCTAGGATCCTGGAGCTACAATGGAATGGTAGTATGGAGGAGGATTAGAGGCATATGATTGAGGTAGATACGAATGAAACTATGGGGAGAGGTATGGGCAGGGGGAGGAGAGGGAGTGAAAAATAGAGTCCAGAATATTAGAGCTAGATGAGCCCTTTCAATGTAGAACACAAGAATGGAAAAGGACTTAGATCATAGAATCACAGTACCATGCCTACCTGGAAGGGAATGGAGAGATGTAGTCTGACCTTCCCATTTTACAGATGACAAAAGTAAGGGCCAGAGAAGGGAAGCTACTTGCATGATGAATGAGTAGCCATACTTGGACTGGAACCCAACCTCCAAAGGTAGGCTTTCCATGCCACCACACTGCCTCCTGGAGGAAGCCCTCCTTCAGGAAGATGAGAGGAAAGGGAATCTAGTCCCTGGCAGGGTTTCCTCTACAGACAAAAGGAAATTATAGCTCCTGGGAACAGACCAGGAAGGAGCCAATCCTCTGAAGGGGGCCTGGAAAATGCCTGGAAAGCAGTGAGAACCAGGGAGGTGGCGACATTCCCTCAAAGAAACCACACAGGGGCTATTTGCAGAGCTGTCTGCAGAGGAAATCAGCCAACTCCCTCGGCCCAGGCTAAGCCTCCTCAGAGCCCCCCATTTCAGAGAAATTTCTGCAGCTCTTCCCAGAATTAAAAAACCCAGAGGAAAGCATCACACACACTGCCATGTCTTCTCCGCGGAGCGACAGGAAGAGGTCAGGCAGCATTTGATTACAAGCTCTCGACCTTCCTGGGAAAGGCTAAGCTAATAGCCCAGTGGTAGAAATGCCTGTGGACAATGCCATTCTTTGAAAATGTCAAGGTCTTCTTTCTGCTCCCTCCCTGCCGGGGGCCTAGGCAGCCTCTCCAATGTCTCAAAGGTTAAGGAGTCCATCAGACACTCGGGAAGGGGGCCAGGCGCCCTGAAACCAGATGGGATCAGTACCAGGCCTGGGAGGAAGGCCAAAGCACTTTTCTCAGTCTTCCTCCTTAGGAGCACAGAGGCTCTTAGGGACGCAGGAGGAGGAGGAAGGGTGTTGCAAATCACAGGGGTGAGGGTTGGGGGGAGTGTGGGGGGTGGAATTCATGCATTTCTTTCCAAGATCTCAGACTCAGTTGGAAGTGTTGAGAGGAAAGGAAGGCAGTCTAGGAATAATAATAATGATTATTTTTATGCATATATTTCTATCTGAGTGTTCAAACTTAGCTGGAGGGGGTTGAGAAGATGGGAGATCAGTGAGGACTAAAGTGGTATAAGAATAATAATAATGATGATCATTATTATTATTATTATTAATTAACAGTATGTATCTCCCCTCTGATGCATAACTGCTTATGTGGCCTCTAACACATATTGATTGCATCAGCCTGGACATAGCCTCATAACCTCTAGTTGCTCTAGGCAACTCTGAGACAGGGGTAACCTGTCTTACCTGAGGGCCATGGACAAAGTGTCAGTAAATCAATAGCAATGGTGGTCTATGAACTTGGATAGGAAAAAATATTTCATCTTTGTTTTTTTACTAGCCTCTAACTGAAATTTAGCATTCCATGTATTTTATTTCATACATTAAAAAACATTATTCTGAGGAATTCACAGGCTTCCCCAGATGGCCAAAGGAGTCCATGCCCCCCCCTCCCAAAGGTTCAGAGCCCCTGCTGTAAGACTTGAGATTGCATTGAAGGCAAGGACCTCTACGAGTAAGAGGAGGTCCCCCCTACCCCCTAAGTCTCCCCCCAACCCTTCATTTTACAGATGAGGAGCCCCAGTGGGGCTTAGGGAAGAGAAATGAGTCAACGGTTTGCCCAAGGTCACCCATTCATATTGGTCATTGACCCAGTCAATGGGCTTTGATGAAACATTTCCTAGGTCAGCGCCAGGCATGAGTACTGGTGAGACGATAAAGGACAGAACCAGCTCCTGCCCTCCAGGAATTCACTTTTTTTTTTTTTAGTTTTTAGGCAATTGGGGTTAAGTGACTTCCCCAGGGTCACACAGCTAGTAAGTGTCAAGTGTTTGGTCTGAGGTCAGATTTGAACTCAGGTCCTCCTGACTTCAGGGCTGGTGCTCTATCCACTGTGCCACCTAGCTGCCCCTAGGAGTTCCCTTTTTAATGGGGAGACAATGGCCTGATTTCACAGATGAGGAATCTTTGGAGGTCCAGAGAGTTTGGGGATTTGTCCAAGGTCACAAAGGTAGCAGTGATCCAGGCTGAGACTTGACCCACATGTCCTTTGACTCTAAATCCAAAGCAATGTTCTTCCTCTTACATCACAATGCATTGGGATATATGTTTTTGAAGGCAACTAACAGACCCTGAGGTGGCACAGTGGGTAGAGTACTGGGCCTAGAGTCAGGAAGACCTAAGTTCAAATCTGATGCCTCAGACACTTGCTAGCTGTGTGACCCTGGGCAAGTCACTTAACCCTGTTTGCCTCAGTTTCCTTATCTGTCAAATGAGCTGGAGAAGGAAATAGCAAACTGCTCCAGTATCTTTGCCAAGAAAACTCCAAATAGGGTCACAAAGAGGTAGACAAGACTGAACAACAACAAAGCAGTCCCTGAAAAGTCTAGGATTTCAGAGGATCATCGGTTAACAATGGAAAGGGATCTTAGAGGCCATAGGGTCCAAACTCTTCATTTTCCAGATGAGGAAAAAGACACCTAGAGAGATTCAATTCAATTCAACATTTATTAAGAGCCAGGCACTGTGCTAAGCTCTCTGTAAGTGACACCTATCAAGTGTCTGAGGTAGGATTAGAACCCAAGTCTTCCTGAGGCCAAGAACAGTGTTCTATCTGCTATAATCTAGGAAGATCATTTACTAAGGGGCAGAGAGATCACAATCAGACTCCAGGGAGAGAATGTCCCCAAGGTGAAATCATGGATCTCTGGTCACAATAAACAATAATAACGATAGAACACCTTCACTCTTGCGTGGTTATTTCATGGCTCTTAGAAGTCTTTCCCATCCTTCAGTTTATTTGAACCTTGTAGTTCTGGGAAGCAGACACTAATGCTTTCTTCATTTAAGATACTATGGCAGAAGAGGGGAAGTGAGTTGACCCAAGTGATCTAATGATGGTGGAGCTGGGATTTGAACCCAGGTTGGTGCTCTTCCATCTGGGCTGATGAACAAATGACTGACTGTCATCGCTACCAGTCTCAGCTGGTGCCTGGGCAGAGCTAAGGATTATGCTAGAATTCCACGAGAGGCCAAAAGGCTCTGCGAACATGAAAGGGAGCTGAGGGATCATTTTGGCCAACTCATTTCACAGATGGGGAAACTGAGGCCTCGAGAGTCTAAGTGATTTGTCTAAGTTCACAAAAGTAGTGATCACAAAATTAGGTGGGATTTGAACTCTGGTCCTCCTCCTCTAGAGTCACTCCTTACTTTGCTTCACACAGTGCTATCTGAAACTAGAATCCATGTCAACATTCTTTCCACTATACTGCACTGCCAACTGTTCACCACTGCATATCTAGGAAGTGATTAGAAAATTCTGTTAATGTCTCTTGGAATTTGTGAAAAACTCTAAAGCCTGACAATCCCACATTGCACTGTGGTCAGTATTTCTGCTTGGGGGCATCAGTACCCCAAAAGTGGCACAATCCTATCCTTGTGCCTGCTACTCTTTAAACTCCCTCCCTTCCCCATTCTCCCACAAGTAGCTAATTTAACATGAGACAAAAGGAAAAGGTCTGAAGTGTTATTGCAGCCCAGGTTAGGGGAGGAGGGGGAGCCAGCACCCACTCAGGCACCCCAACTCAAGTAGCTTTACCTTGGCTCCCATAGCCGCCTTCTGCCCCAGATCCATCCCATGATTCCATGGCACTGTCTATGCTGGGCACAGTGGTGGCGTAGATCTCAGCCAGCTTGCCAGGCTTCTGCGCCTCACTGAGATCTTCCTCTGTGTCGCTGGCTTCATTCAGTCCTCCTGACTTCTTAGGGTAGGAGCCTCCTGAAAACGAGAGAACAAATTGGTTCTGCAGGAATTTGGGGACTAATGAGGACTATCTTTGGGACAAAAGAGATCTCCCTACCTCCCCAGATCCTATCAAATGCAGTAAAAATAAAGAGAAGAAGAAGGGAGAAGGAGGAGGAGAAGGAGAAGGAGGAGGAGAAGGAGAAGGAGAAGGAGAAGGAGGAGAAGGAGAAGGAGAAGGAGAAGGAGAAGGAGAAGGAGAAGGAGAAGGAGAAGGAGAAGGAGAAGGAGAAAGAGAAGGAGAAGAAGGAGAAGGAGGAGAAGGAGGAGGGTGGAAAGAAAGAAAGAAAGAAAGAAAGAAAGAAAGAAAGAAAGAAAGAAAGAAAGAAAGAGAGAAAGGAAGGAAAGAAGGAAGGAAGGAAGGAAGGAAGGAAGGAAGGAAGGAAGGAAGGAAGGAAGGAAGGAAGGAAAAGAAAGAAGGAAAGAAAGGAAGGAAGAAAAGAGAAAAGAAGAAAAGAAAAAAGGAAAGGAAAGGAAAGGAAAGAAAAGGAAAGAAAAGAAAAGAAGAAGCAACTTAGGATTTCACACAACCAGATGGGGGCTACTGCCTTCACACTCATGCCTGTCATCAGCCATACTTGTTCAAATGAAGCTGTCATCATCAGTCTGACTTACTGTTATAGATAAAATCCAGCACTCCTGGAAGGAACCTTAGAACATGGAATGTTTGAGTGGGAAGGGTCCTAAGATCACAGAAAGTCAAGGCTTGCAGGCCTATTAGCTTGTAGTATATTAGAACTGGAAGGAACTTTATCACAGACAGTTAGCTTGGCATGGCAATGTCTGTTGGTAATCCATGCTGGTGGGGAGGCTGAGACTGTCAGATGACTTGAGCTCAGGAGTTCTGAGCTGCAGTAAGCTAAGCCGATTGGGTGTTTATACTAGGTCTGGTATTAATATGGTAAATGCCCAGGAGTGGGGATGGGGGTGGTACTAGGCTGCCTAAGGAGGGATGAATCAGCTCTGGTCAAGATGGCTGCTGCCCTTTCATCCTGGATGAGATAGGGAAACCCAGGCTCCAATCTCCCTTCCTTCCCTTCCCCTCCCCATGTCGTCTCATTCCTTCCCCTCCCAAAAAACCAAAAACACCAAAACGAAACACAGACTATTAAATCATAGAAAAAGAGAGGATATAGAGCATAGAATTTTAGATTTGGGAAGCACCATAGAGATCATCTTGTTGTATTATTGATGAGAATACTTGAGCAGAGAAGGGAGCCAAGGCCAGATTAGACTCTAGGTCAACAGAATCCTGGAACAAATTAAATTCTTTCACACAAACACACACACACACACACACACACACACACACACACACACACACGCCACTCATATCAAAGAACTTAAGTCTTTCCTATGCTCCAGATGGTGAGGGAGTCGAGCCAACATCCCACCTCCCCATCAAAGGTAACAGCTGTTACTTATGACCCTAAGAAGGGCTTCAGCTTCTCTCCAAGCCTTAGTCAGCTTGCAGGATATATCAGATAAAAGAAGGAACAAGCTAGGCTTAACCTGACCTACTAGTGATGTAGCTGGGGGCTTTGAAGAAGCGTGAGCCTGCCGGCAGGGGAGAACTCAGTGTTGAAGGTCAGTGATGCACTGGGGTTCAGGTTTCCCTACATCTCCATGTGCTCTCTTGTGTTACATGGTTAACTAGGCAAGTCAGAAGTTGTAGGCGCCGACTACACCAAAATACTGAGGAGAGGCCCTCAACGCATTCTTCCTTATTTTCTCAGGCATTCCTATCTTAGAGTTTAACAGGCTCTCTGACAGTGTAAGAGAAATGTTCTGATTTACAAGTTGCTAAATTCTATAAATCTACATGATATTTTTCCTCAGAGGATTTCAAAGCATCTGCAGCCCAGTGTTATGCTGAAACTAGCTCGAACATACTCACAAGAGCTGATCATTAAATTTACGGTGTGAGCATATATACCTTGGAAATGGGAACACATTACAAATCAGGGCTTGATTGATTATTTCATTTATTTTCTAGACTTAAGAATGTGGTGGAGAAAATTGTGCAAAAATCATACTGATTAAAGTTTAAAGTATGCTATGCATATAATTATTTTCCTCAGGAGAGCTGATTGTTAAACATTTACCAGCATGTCTACTGTAGCCCTTCATATTTACCAGTGTGGCAGGGATTGGACAGGAATCATTCTTTCCATTTTACAGATGGTGTAACTGAGGTACGGTTAGGCACCTAGTCCAGAATCCCACAGCAAGTCATTGGAGTGGCCAAGAATGTAACTTTTTTTTCCCCCTCTGGTCTCCTTGCTGATTTCCATCCCTGCTTCAGAATAATGATAATTTTTTGGGTTTGCCCCTACTAGGTCATTATAGTACCACACATAGGATTTACAGGTAGACTGCACCTTAACTCTCATTTAACACACTCATTTTACAGATGAGGGAAACAAGATGCAGACAAGGGCAATGATTTACCCTGGGTCACACACCAGGATTGGAACCCAAATGAGTGTTAAGCCATCTCAATACAAATAAGAGGTGACTTTTAGGGAGCTGTCCAATGATACTCCAATCCTCCCACGGATCTGCGAACTCATCCGCTGCTCATTTTATGCGATTCCATTTTATGTGATAACATTTTATGTTGTCCTATAAATTCACCAAAGCCACTGCCCTCCCCCACCCCCCAGCCAAGCATGTTGGGCGTCTTCCAGCACATTCCAAATGAGGTGGGGGCTGTGGGTAATAAAACCCAATGTGCTGGAAAGCAGGGAGTGTCTATAATGTAGTGGATGCCCCATGTCTAACCCCTCACCCTTGCCCTGCTCCCAGAAACTTAAGCTACTTCTGTCTACAAGACATATGTTGATATACTCACGCTCCATTTGTTTTTTGATCTTTAGGGTGACTGTTTCTCCTGCCATTTGGAGAAGGTGGATGGCTTCACTGAGGGGCTTGCCCTTAAGGCTCACATTATTGATGGCTAAGATGCGGTCACCAACGTGGATGGCTCCAGTCCTAGGGAGATGGCACAAAGACACAGGGGTTGGTATTAGATGCAGGAAAATATTTCTCAGAGCCCACAGGGGATACAGTCTGAAAGGTCAGACTGATCTCTTGTTTGGCATTCAAGGCCTTACAACCTAGATAGGTAAAGGGTCGTATGCCAGAGGCAAATGTCTATCACTCTTGCCCAGGCTCAACATTCCATCTCTCATCTCTGCGCCTTTGCATAATGGTCTTCCATGTTTGAAATGCATTTCTTCTCAAATGCATTTCTATAAAATCTATATCTATAGAATATATCGAATTTATATCAATAGAATATAGATAGAGAATATATAGAATCTATGTCTGTAGAATTCCAGACTTCCTTTAAAGCACAGGTGGCCTTTCCTGGTCTTCTGATCTAATTAGCATTCTCCCTCTTGAAATTACTTTGTATCACTTTGTTTACTTACTTGTACACATGTTATATCCTTCAGTAGAATGTAAGCTTCCTGAGGGCAGGAGCAGTTTCATTTTTGTCTTCATATTCCCAGTGCCCAGAAGAGCAGGTACTCTAAACAATGTTTGCTCAATTGTTGAATTAAAGAATTCTCTCCGCAGGACTGGGTATGCTCTTCCCATATTCCCTGTTCTCTTCCTTCTCCTGGATCACCCAGTCATCCAAATTTGGGATAGTTCTTGCCTGCCCCCTCTTCTGCCTCCCCACCTCCCCTGGCCCAGCATAGTTTCCACTCTGCCTGGCACAACCCTACCCATCCTTCAAGGGCCATCATAAAATACCAGATTCTCCATGATGCCTTCCCCTGACTGTTCCAGATGTCATACAAAGTATGCATTATAATTTCTGTCAGACAGCTTATCATGTCATCATGGATGAGTTTTATTTGATGAGCTGTGAGACTGAACTACTTAAGGACTGTGTTATTCATTTTCTCTGCATCCCCTGGGAAGCCCAATATGATGCAACTATATCAAGAACATTTGCCAACTGAATGGTTCCTTCACAGGCCATACCATCTGTCAGGTGGCCTGGGAACTAACTAGGCTGTGTCAGGGACACTCAAGGCTTTTCTTGGCTGTTCCCTATTTTCTTTGATTAAGTTAACTACCTTTGGCAATGAGCGGAAAACCTAGATGTGAAAGATCACAGACTTTAGAAGCCAGAGCTAGAAGACACCTTGAAATATGGAATGTCAGAGCTTAGAAATCAGCTCCTTCCACCCCCTCACTTTACAGATCAGGACCCTGAAGCCCAGAGGTGGGGAAGGTAAGTTGCCCAAAGTCACAAAGCTAGTTAGCAGAAGTGTTGGGCAAGAACCAAGGTCACCTGACTCAGTGAACCATAATGTTCTTCCTGCAGTATTGTGAAAAGACTTCTAGATATGGAGGCAGAAGATGGGGCATCAGATGCCAGGTCTGCCCCAAGTGTTGGCCATGTGACACTGGGTAGGCCTCCATCCCCTCCTCTGTGAAATAAGGTTGGACCAGGTGACCTCTCATTTCAGGTCCCTTTCTGCCCTGTGTCCAATGATCCCCTCCTCCATTCTATTCCCTTATCACCAAACCCTTCTCAGCTGTTTCAGAACCATTCAATAATTCCTTTTCTTCTCAGTCTCTTGAAGATGCAGTCTTAGCATTTTGGATCTTCCAGGGACCGCAGTGGTCACCTAGCCCAAACCATCCCTGAAAAACAATTCTCTCTTCACCATATCTGACTACTGATCATCTAGCCTTTGTTTGAAGTTTTCACAGAAGGGCATCTCTGTTTCCAAGCCAGCCCACTCTGTTTTGGTGCAGTGCTAATCCGTACAGGTGTTTGATGACATCCAGCCTAAATCAGTCTCATCAGTTTCCCCCACTGCTCCTTGTTCTCCTCTTGGGAGCCAAGCAGAACAAACCTGATGCCCTTTCTATGGGATACTCTTTAAATACATGAAGACAGATAGAGGTCTCCTTTAAGGCGTCTCTGTTCTAGGTTCCTCTAACCAGTCCTCATATAGCAGGAACTCAAGACTTTTCACCATGCTTGCTTCCCTCTCCTAAATGTTCCCCGACTTCTCAACGTGCTTCCTAAATTTTGGGGCCCCAGACTCATCGCAAAACTCTGGGGCTATGTGATCTTGTCTCCCAGACCTGATGCCTCTTGAGGCCACTAGGTGGCACCATAGTGCAGAGTTCTGGAACAGCTCAATTTCAGCTTCAGACACTAGCTGCTTAAATGACTTACAGTCATTTAACCTCTCTCTGCCACAGTTTCCTCATCTGTGAAATGGGGATAATAATAGATTAATGCTATAATGCTATAATCTCCCAGGGTTGTTGTGAGCATCAAATAAGATAACATGTAAAGTGCTTTGACGTTTGATGCTCTGCTCTAAAGTCCTTCCTTTCGGGCTAGCTCTAACATACCTTATTCTAAGATGACTCCCAGTCCTGGCATTTTTTTCTCTAAGGAGTCCTCCTAGGTCTGAAATTCTGTTCTAAAGTCCTTTCTAGGTCTAACATACCCTATTCTTAAGCTCCTTCCAGCCCTGACATTCTCCATTCTAAGAGCCCTCTCACATCTGACATTTGTTCTTAGATGCTCTATTCTAAAGTTCTTATTTCTTTTATTGCTCTACCATACCCTATTCTGAGATCACTTCCAATCCGGGTATTTTCTGTTCTAAGGGTCCTTCTAGGTCTAATATTCTTTGTCCTAAGATCCCTCCTATTTCTGACTGATACAGAGCAAAATGAGAGAAACCAAGAGAAAGATTTATAGTCTATTATCAGATTGTACAAATGAACAATTTTGAAAGAATTGAGAACTCTGGTAGCACAGTAATTAGTTATCATTCCTGAGGACCAATCACAAAGAGTGCTACCCCATTCTCAATAGAGAGGTGATGGGCATAAGATGGAGAATGAGACATACATTTTTGGACATGGCTAATATTGCTTAACTATGCTTATTTGTTAAAATAATCTTGTTTTTCTTTTTCTCCAGTGGTTAGGATAAAAAATAAATATTAAAAGTTGAAAAAATTATAAAAATGAAATTTGATTAAGACTAAGATGAAAGTTAGATTAGATAATCTCTAAGGTCCTTTTCAAAGCTAAGTATGTGATCTATTGATGATCTACCTAAGTCTGCTCTCAGTTATGTGAGTTATGGCCTCTATTGGATTCTAGGTATAATTCTGACCTGTAGGAAAGGCATGTTTTCATAGGATCATATATTTAGAGCTTTAAAGGACCCCTGAGTCCAACCCTCTCATTTTAAAAGTGAGGAAACTGAGGCAAAGAGAAGTCAGTGATGTGCCCAAAGTCCCACTGATAACAAGTTGCAGAGCTGAGGTTCAAACTCAGGGCTTTTGATGACCAGCTCTCTTTCCACTATATCAATACTATCTCTGTCCCCCTTTCCAAAAAGGGCTGGTGAAATGTCCTTTTATTTTGTAGATTTTTGTCCACAGAATAACCAGAGGTCTTGGAGATATAGATGTTCTTCAAGTCAAATAAAGCAAACTCTGCCTCAATGTCTGGATAAATTTCCTACAATATTGGAAGTTGGGAAAAAAGCACTTGAAGACATGTCTTCAAGCGGAGGCAGGATGGGCACTTGGCAAGGATGTTGTAGATGGGATTCATGCCTGGGCTCAGGGCTGGACTAGGTGACTTTGGAGGTCTCATAGGTGTCTTCATTTCTTGGATTCTGAAGACTACCCTTAAAAGCCTGCAGTCCTTCAATTCTCCACTAGGTGTCAGCACTGGCCTCCCTGTTCATGCCCAGTCTTACACAAAAGTCATAAGGGAAATCCATTCACACTCAACAGAGGATGTTTTCCCATTAAAGAATCATTTGTGGGGTTTTATGAAGCTAGTGGAGGAGCCCATCTGGGCCCAAAGTGGTCAATTAACTCTGAGAAGTTTCAAGGCTGACATTTTTCTTTCACTTGCTATTTAACTAGACTGGTTATGGAACAGGAGGCGGTAACTAATTGATTTCTCCTTCATTTGGCTTATTTACATACCAGCTCCTATCTAGTGAGAAGAACATGGGACTAGGAGACAGGAACTCTGGGTTCAAGTCCTACCTCCACAACCAAGTCAGGAAGGAAGACTTTATTTCTCTGGGTTCCTGGGAGCCAGAACTCAGGGAAAACAGATATTTGGGTAATATTTACATCAGTGCTATTGATGAGGACTTGGACAGGGCAAACAGGGTAATGAAAGGTATGTTCAACCCACTCAAGAGAACAATATTGTCCATTCCTTTAGCAACATCCACTAAAATGTAGAAATATAAATATACTAATTATAGGCCACCCATAAGTCTCCATTGAAGCAGCTTTCTTAAGAATCTCTATTTGAAAATATGTAAATTTCATAGAATAATGGGGTTGGAAATATCTCAGTGGTCAACTTATCCAACCCATAACAGAAAAAGAATTCCTCTACATCATAAATGACAAGTGGTCATTCAGCCTCTTTCAGAATATCTACAAAGAAGAGGAAACCATTGCTTCATGATATGGCCCTCTCTCTACTTTGAGATAACTCTATTCATTATGGAATGTTTCCTTTCATTGAGCTTAAATTCTTCTTTGTGACTTTCACCATTGTTTTTAGTTTTGTCTTCTGGGCCCCAACTGAATTAATCGAACTCTTCTCCTGACACGCCTTCACCTCCTTGAAGATAGCTCTCATGTTTCTCTACCTCTCCTCATCCCCAAAATCTAGGCTGCAGTAATCCTTTTGAATCCTGACTCTATCATCCAGTGTGGTACTTATTCCTCCCAGCTTTGTTCCACCTGACAATTTGAAAAGCAAGCCATCCTGTGCCTTTACCTAATCATTGATTAAGATGACAAGGTCAAGCATAGATCCCCACAGCACAACATGAGAGACCTCCTTCCAAGGTGACCCTGGACCAACAATGACTGCTCCTTGGGTCCAGCCATTCAAATGAGCTCTACATACAACATACTGTCTAGCATCTAGAGGCCACTAGGTGGTACAATACA